TTACTAGTAACAATCACATTCATGATATCAGAAATGAACATTGTCACTAGTGACAATTAAATTGTTGATATCAAGAAGAGACATCCGTACTAGTAACCATGTGATTACTGATATCAAAAATAAAGGTTTTTACTAGTAAGAATTGTATTTCTGATATGTGAAATTGTCATTTCAACTAATAAGAAATTAATTATTGATATCAACAATTGATTTTGAATGGCAGCCTATGGTGACATTTAACTAGTGAAAATACAATTACAGATATCAAGAATTTACATTTTAACTAGAGAATTCATATCCTGAGAATGAATAAAAGTCAAAACGGCTTGCCATATTTAAGTGTTTTGCTCCTATAGAAACAGCGAAACACTTAAAGTGACGTCGCAGATGTGCATGTGACATTGTAATTTTGGTGAGGGGTGGGCACCAGGTAAAAATCATGTTCCGGGCCCTTGAAATAGTCACCATCAGTCACTGGCATACATTGTTGATTTTCCATCTATGTTTTCCATGCAAATTCCCGTTTAAATATGATGCCAATGTGTCTTTTTAAAGGGCCTGTTTCTGTACCTGTCGTCAGGTCTCCAGTTGGTGTAAACCAAACTCAAGGTGAGACCCCCACCCTTTTTGATTGTTCATTTAGCAGACCACAACCAGCAGCTCATGGATATAAGAAGACTCAAAACAAAAAGGTGGAATTAAATAAGCAAATACTTAAGATTTTAGGATTTGTTAGGGTTAAAAGAATTGTTGCAAAACATGCCAGAAACATATTAATCACAGTGATAATGATCCAGACTCTTCAGTGTTTATCAGTATTTCAGTATTAAATCCATATGGTAACTTTTTTGGCGAGGCTGTTTATATACACTCACCCACCCCTTATTTATACACCACTTAATTTGCATGGGCCCACCAAAAAAATGGGGAATAGAAGATTGGAAAAAGTTTGCCTGGTCTGAGGAGTCTCAATTTCTGCTGCACCATTCAGATAGTAGGGTCAAAATTATTATATCATCTGCTTCACAATGTTATGACACTGGCTAAAGTGAGGCTGCAAAATAACCTGGAACAGACAACAAAACTCTTTCTACACTTTCATTTACTGAGGAATGAGCAAAGACCATATAACTAACCAAGTCCCGCAAGAAGCAACTACATAAAATAAGATACAATTAATTACACAGCCTCCTTGTCTTATAATAATAATAATAAATAAAAAAGGAACAAGAAACAGCATCCACCACCAACAGTTTCCAATGTGAATAAGATGTTTATAATCATTTATAAAATATCCACAAAGAAAAGAAGCTGACAGTAAACGATCAACAAAGCAAGGCAAAGCACAGGCAGCAAAGCAATTAAACTACAAGATAAAATAACAAACTAAACATAAACAACAAAATGAAACGAAACTCTAATGCGTGTTTGTGCTCTGGAGAGCTGCTTGCAGAGAGTTTTTTGCCGTGTTGAGCAGTGTAGCCAATCACGGACATATCTGTTGATTTCTTGAACTTCTTGATATGAAGAAAAAAGGTTCTCTCAAAATGTTCAGAATTAACCTGACACAACAGATGTCCACTAGGTTCATCAAAGTCACAGAAGATGAAGGAGGTCTGCTCTGTGTTGTGTTCTGTGAAAAATTATCGAGGTGTGTTTATCTCGTGGTATAAAGGAGGAGAAATGTTGAACCAGACCAGCAATCCTGATCTCAGCATCAACCTCAGTTTACCATTAGAGCTTCATTATAATGATCCAGAGACCTACAGCTGCACGGCTGCAAACCCAGTGAGCAATAAGAGTGTCTTTCTGCAAATGAAAGAGATCTGCCCACGACGGGAAAATAGGCCGACATGAACTCATTTAGTACAATACACTTCCACGCACAGCTTCTGTGTTTACACAGACAAAGACATTTTATGGCACAGAAGATGTTTATGAATAACTCTCTTCTCTTTCAGATTATCAGGATCATTGCGGCATTACTGAGGCTCTGGTTCATCTGGTTCTGTCTGGTCTGCTGGGAATCGCCATCATTGTCTTTCTGGTTGAACATCTGAGGTTCAGCTCATCTCAGAGAAGAGCTGCTTCTTCTATATGATGGTGACTTGCATGAGATGCTACAATGGCAGGCTCAGCCCTTGTTGTCTTGTGAGTCCACACAATGTCTTGTACTTACATTTTCATCATCATCCTATCAAGCTCCAAGTTCAGGTCCTTCTTCATTGTCCACTGATAAGTTTGTGTCAACCACAATCTCTAAGGATTCATCTGTGGCTGGTTCACCTGCTGATTGTAGAAAAAGGAGAGTTTTTGTTCAGGGCTATTAAGTTCAAAGATATTGAAATAAAACAATATATTTACTTCTATAGCCAATATTTGTAATGTTTATTCAATAATTTATTCATCTATGGTAATAATAACAACTGAGTAAAAAAAAA